GCCACAGCGCCACTTCCAGCTTTTTTCTTTTTGCTTATGTGGCGTTGAGGAATCAAACCCAGGACCTCACGCATGCAAGGCAAGAGCTCTACCACTGAGCCACCTTCCCAGCCCCACTACTATCAATTTTTATTTTGTTGGAGTTTTGGGTTGTTTTTTTTGTGCTGGTACTGGGGCTTGAACTTGGGGCCTAGGTGCTGTCCCTGAGTTGTTTTTTTTTTCCCTCAAGGCTAGTGCTCTACCACTTGAGCCACAGCTCTACTTCAGGCTTTTTGGTGGTTAAATGGAAATAAGAGTCTCACAGACTTTCCACCCAGGCTGACTTTGAACCGTGATCCTTAGATCTCAGCCTCCTGAGCAGCTAGAATTACAGGCATGAGCCATCGATGCCTGGCAAGATATATAGATATAGATAGATAGATAGATAGATAGATAGATAGATAGATAGATAGATAGATAGATAGATAGATAGATAGATAGATATACACACATATATGCATACATGTATATATGTGTATATATATATATTATAGATTGTCTATCATTGAAATAAATCCATTTTTCTGAAGAGGTTCAAGTATGTCATTTGTCCTTTTTAAAATGAAATTCATAGTTTTACTAACATCAAACTTGAACACAAATATTTATGACAAAAGAAAACTGTAATTTTCTCTCTCAATCCTATTCTTCAGGCTATTAACTGAGCATTTTTTATGTGCAAGGTATTTCATTAATTACTGATCAGATGGAAATCCAGAGTCTACAAAAGAAACTAGTTGGCAAGTAGAACCAAGAATCAGTTCCCACAGCTGGGCTTCCTTTTAGTTATACCACTTAGTCAATATAGTACTTTTAGAAATGTTCCCAAAACTGTCCAGGCAGTTATCACCACCCTGAAGAAAACCTTTCAGCTGTGCCCAGCTGCCCACCACAGCACCTGGTCCTAACACTGACTAGGCACTAGGACTTCCACAGCATGCCCCTATATAACAAGCCCCATACGAAGGTCCCTCTTCTCTCTCTGGACTGTGCACAAGTTCTTCTTTTCACACTCTTTTTCCATCCTTCCACCTATGGCCAGTTGTTAGAATTCATTTCCTGCGAGACATTTTCCTTATCCCTCCTTCTCCCAAGTCTAGGTTAGAAACCCACCACGAAAAGCTCCATCAGCACCCTGCCAGCACCGGTGCTAACTTCTGTAGCAGTACTTCAACATTTCCACTTAAGCTATTTTATTTATCAAGATTTTTTTAAACACAAAAAGCTTTGTATACATGTGTATACAAAACAGGAAGGAACTAATGCTTGCTCAACACCAACTACGCTCAAGTGATTTATACAGTATCTCATTTAATACTTTTGAAGAGAGGCTGGGCACCCAAACTCTGAAGGGTAGCCAGACATCCATGGCTCACCTATAATCTTAAACTACTCAGGAAGCAGAGATCTGAGGATTTTGCTTCTAAGCCAGTCAGGGAAGGAAAGTCCATGACACTCCAATTATCCACCAAAAAGTCAAAGTAGATCCATACCTCCAGTGATAGAGAGCTAGCCTTGTGCAAGAAAGCTCAGGGACAGCATCTAGATATCCTCCTCTACACACACACACACACACACATCCTACACACACACACACACACACACACACGGTATAGAGTCTGATATCCTGGCTGACACCTGGAGGATCCAGATTCTACATCAGCCTAGGCAGAAAAGTCTGTAAGATTCCATTTCCAATTAACCATCAAAATGCTGGACTGGATCCTGGCACAGGTGGCTCACTCCTGTAATCCGAACTTCTCAGGAGGCTGAGATCTGAGGATCACGGTTCAAAGCCAGCCTGAGCGAGGAAAGTCTGTGAGACTCTTATCTCCAATAAACCATTAGAAAACCGGAAGTGGCGCTGTGGCTCTAGTGGTAGAGTGCTTGCCTTAAGCTGAAGAGCTGAGGGACAGCACCCAAGCCCCAAGTTCAAGCCCCACGACCAACCAAAAAAATTAATAATAATAATAATTCAAGGGGCTGGGAAGG